TAACTCCCAAATTATTAGGTTTTTATATCTGATTAAACGTGCAAACCTATTACCTTGCGTTCTAGCGTTCACGAACTTTATTTGTAGGGTACTTTAGTCTTTAGTGTTAGAATACCTATATTGGCTATATACCTACTAGATATAAGTTATATTATGATTTTCTGTTTTTGCTTTTGTGTTTATAATTTGTATTTATACATGTTTTAGCTATCCGATCTGATTTATATAATTATAAATAAAGGGAACACAAAATTAAACTTATAATAATCTGTTTCCTTCCCACTTCTATGCGGGTGAAAGAATAAGCTCATACAGAATCCTATAAGACCAAAGTTTAAAAATTAAAGGAATCTATTATTAAAAAACTATTGTCTATTATTGAAATTGGTTCAATAGTTAATGATATGAGCGTGTTCGAGAGTACAAACCCTTCATTTGTATAGTATAAGTATAAATTAATAAACAATTCAAACTAAATATATTTTTATTAAAAAAATGTATATTCATTAATTTTGATGTCATAGATTATATCGAATCATTAACCGACTATTTTTAGATCCTATATGTATTTTATTTGCAGGCTTGAACGTTAAAAACTAGAAAAACTTAAGTTAAAATCCTTTCATGACTTTATTAAAAGTGACTCTCGGCCCAATCGTTTATCTACAATTGCGGTACTGATTACCTATATGGCTATATTATGTAATTGGTATATTAGGTCGTGTACATTCGATGTTCGTTCGGCATAGATTGTGTTGTATAACTGAGCCAGTATGACAAAATAGATCAAAACATCTATTTTGTCATGTGGTGCAGCAAGCAACGAATAGTAATGTACTAATGTATTCTAATGTAGTCGTTTGTTGCGGACGACAGTCGACGTGGCATGTATAATATGATTATGGTCGACACTCAACACACGTGTACAAGAAATCGGAAACCCGTTTTCCGGGTAGGTACCTATTTTAAGAATACAGGGTCACTGCAGCGTAGTCAATAGTCATATTCATATTCGTGTCAATAATACGAATTCAATGAGACACAAGGTCGCGAGGGCGTAAGTATATTGAATGTGTATAATCATATCCAATTGGCAATTACCAGCACCGTTCGGGTGTAACTTACACCACTGCACACACTTCACAAGTTCACAAGTTCACAACATAATATTATTCTGTGAAAACCTATATTTCGTGGTTTTATTTCATCAATAATTAACTTAACCCGGTCAGTAAAACTTAATAAATATTAAAAAAAAAAATAATAATTTTATAGTTAAATGTACCGTTTTTAAACTATTAATTTTGTAAACTATATAAACCCGAAGAGATTATGATTATTGATAAATGGTAGATTATAGGTGCATTAGTTTGTGAACCCTAATCGTAGGTTACCAAGATATTATTTTAAACGTACAATAAATTCAGCAATTTATTGTCTGTTTTATACACGAGAATTGTGTTTACTCTGTTTAATTATTAAAATTTAATTACAATTTGTTATTATAATAATTAATAGTGAATCGAGTGATCGAAAGTCACGTTCAGCATATTATGGTATGATTTGTGTTCACGTCTTAACATTAAATAATAATAGCTAATATGGAATCTAGGTCAGAATATTCAATGAAAAAATATCCAATGGTTAAAATATACAAATTTAAAAATGTAGAAACACTTTTTAAAGAAAAGAAAGATATTTTCTAATAAAATTAACTGAAATATTAAATCATAAAATTACGCAAGCATAGAAAAAATTGTTTTTTCTAAATAAAAGACATGCACACATTTTGTAAGTTGATTTTTTCATGTATTTGTATATTATGTTTGGTACTTTTGTATTCTTTCGGACTAAAATCTCTAACCAATCCGCCCCTAAATTGAGTTTTTAATTTTTGTTGAAAAGTATAGCAAAAAAATAATAAAATATGCGATATGCGAGATTGCAGTATAGATGAAACTCAAGCTGTATAGCCTAAATTATCGATTAGGTACCATTGGAGTCATTGGACCACTACAGATAAAAAATAAAATAAAAGATAAATTTAAATAAATCTGTGAAAAATACGATAATGGCGATAGGAATATTCCAATTTTTTTAATGCTATTGTTAATTTTATTAGAAAATAATATACACGTCATTAAATTATTTTATAAAAATTAAATTAAATTTTCTATTAAAAAAAAAAACCTTTTTTTTTTTAATTTTTAGAAAATAGTGAACGTAGTCTGCTAATTTACGTCATTGAATTATTTTACATTTTGACTTATATCTTATTTTATATTATTTAACTATAACGACTAATGTTTGTAAAGTATATTTTGTGATATTTTTGGTATTAATAAAATGTATTTTACTATTAATGATAATATAGTTTATCTAGGTTGAATTAATTTTACAAGTTAGGTATCTTTGAAGTTTTATATTTAAACAAATTTTATTAGAAAATAAAATGTTTACAATCTTGGATATTTTGTATACTTTACAGAAGTGAGTGCATGACTCGTCAGTCGTCTTACGACAATTATTAATAACCCCGATTAGAACAAGTAAGAATTGTACGTGTCTAGCTCTGAACAATAAAAACGAATTCAATATAATATAATATTATGTATAGAAGGACTCACAGAGTCACAGACTATATAGGATAGGTATGTGTCTATATTAAATAAGAAGATCGGCAAGTCACATGAAGTTGTGCCTTAATACCTATAACTGAAGCTCCTATTTAATATTTAATACAATCGCTTATGCTTATTAGTTATTATTACTTAGATATTAGTTATTTATATTACATTATTGATATATTTTGGACTTTGGTCGTTGATTATACGTTGTTCAAACTTACAAGTTACAGTTAGACTTTAAATCAAAATCTAGGACATTTTATTCCCGGCGTAAATTGATTATAATATTTTTGGTTTTTCGGGTTTTAAGTTATTATTTTTTTCAGTTACATTTGAATAGAAGAAAAATAATATTAATCATGAAATTAATTCAATATTAATTCATTACCCTTAATAGATCATCCATCAAGTGTCCAATTCCAAGCCAATAGACAAGTAATTGCAAAATAGTTGTGTGGTTATTCCTGCAATACTTAGTCAAATTAGTTTTAGAACCCTTTATTTCTATTCCAGATCTTATCCTCTCTACATTGAGCACTGCACTATAAACCATTCTTGTAGTTGTAATTTATCAATCTAAGAAATGATGCACATTATAGTCAACAAAGACTTGTAATTTCTATATTCTATTTAATTATAATATACTGAATTTTGTATTTTTGTGTAGGTACATCTATTTAAACTTGTGTTTATAAATATTTATATTTAATTTGTAAGTTATCTATTTTGAGATGTAAATAAATACATAATTTCTTAATTATTCTAATTTTTTTATTTTATAATACTTACAAACACATAGAATTACATAATTACAAACAATTATGTAACGAACTATTTGTATACCTCTAAAACAAATAGTTTAGATGGATAAAACTTGACATAGGCTTAAGGGATCTGAGAAATTAAGTACGTCAAGGACGTTTGCATACATGATGTCATGAGACATGTCAGGGGCTTACAGATTACGCTACACGTCGTATGTACTTATTGTATAATATAAATATCTAATAATACGTTTATAAAATTTTGAGAAATCTCATGTTTTAAATAAGCTATATTAAATCATTTGTATTTCGTTTAATAGTTTGAAACGACCTTCTTTAGTTCTTTGATCTTTCTCAACCTTGGGTTTTGTGTCATTCAAATATTCAGTTTATAATAAAATAAATCATTTAATTTATAGTGTATTCTAATCTGGATTAATGAGCTAGGAAATAAAGTGTCAATACGGTCATAATGCTACATATTATCTACAAATCAACAAATCGAAATCTATAATAGTATAGTTTGCAATACAGTTTTTACTATTAAGCTAAATTAAAAACATTGTATTATCGAACCAATAAAAACAATTTCAAAACACAAAGTAACAGAATTAACAAAATATTTGGACATAGGCGTATAGTAAAGTTAGAAAACTGCAGAATAAAATTTTATATTTAGTTTAGATATTATTAAGAATACCTATACTATTTTTTATGTGTTTCTGTATGGCAGTACTGCTGTACAAAATTTATACTACACCTGAAAGTTTGGAATACTATCGTAGTGCAGTTGCATACCTACCTTTACGATTTATGCAGTATTGTGTATTTTTTTGATTCGTGTGGTGTACTTAAACACATACATTTAGACGGAATTATTTCGCCTAAAAAATAAAATATCAATTGATAATATTACAATATTATCGTGAGTCTGAGTAGCATTGTGCAACAAAAATGAATTGTCAACGATGCGGTTTGTGTGTATAGGCATGAAGGGTGGGGGATGAGAAAAAGGTCGCACGTGTTTATGCACACAATGTGTATGACGTTATAAACTTATAATATATTCTAATATTATTGTTATTAATATATTTATATGCGCTGTGTCGTCGTGTTTGATATTCCACTGTTCCATCGAACACCTGCAGGGGTTCGCAATAACAGAAGTGACTCCTTGTACCAAGGGCGTGGTGGTGGTGGCAGCGGCGAGTGACAACGCGCGTTTGCCGACCACTGGAAACGATGGTATGGGCAGTATTCTTTTATCTGCGACCACTGCAGCTGCCGCTCTCCGGTCCTCGGAACGACTTGAACGTGAGTGTTTACAACTGCTTACTAAGCGGTAAGCGGCGGACGGTGCGCTGGAAAAAAATCGTCATTACGGCGTTCCGGTGGTGCCGACTGTCGACCGCGGGCCGCAGCTGCTCCTGGTACCGCCGTAGAGTCCTGGCGTCGGATAGAGTGAGCGACCGTGCCCCCGAGTGGGTGCGTGTGGGTGTGCGACGGAGAGAGAGCGACGTGTGCGCGCGCGTGCAGGCCGTGCAGCGTATGCATTATACGTCGCGTCGCTAGCGGTGGGTGGGGAGTGGGCGGGGAATAGAGGATAAAAAAAAAAGAGAGAGAAAAGAAGAAAAAAACACACTCAACCCACCTCTCCCCGTTCATTGATTAAGATTGACATTCCGATTCCGTTGAACGTCAAAATACTTGTGCGAACCATCACCGCCGCCGTCGAATTCGTCTGTTCGTTTGTGCGTTTGTCGTGTCCGGAAAACCCGCGGTCCTTTGTTTTTTTCGTTCGTCGTTGCATGCACCAGCGTATCTGCACCCCGTACGCGCTTACAGTGCAGTGCACACACGGTGCGGCCAGACATCAGTCGCGTCCATGACAATAACAACGCGATACGCGCGCTTCGACATTGCCGCTGCCTCGTCTCCATCTACGTCGCCGTACCCGTCGTTTCCCGTCGTACCGTAGGGAAACCGTTCTCGGCCACATACGTGTCCGCTGCCGACCAGAACAGAGCCATCGCCACTAAAGTGCGCCGCTGATTACCGTCCACACAGCCGCCGTCATGGGACCGAAAATCGTTTGCCTGGTGGTCGTCTGCGTTTTTCTCGTGCACAACGTAAGTACAAGTACCTCCGGTCTGTCCGTGGATAATGCCAGTAACAGCAGTCATGGACAGGCGGGGTAGATTTGACTTTTGCCATCGGCCGTTATCCTTGTTGTCACTCCTTGAAGAGTGCAGTCATGAATCTTGAAATGTTTTCAATGTACAGTTCACAATTATGTCTACTTAACAGGGGTTTGTTGTTGGATTGTGTTGTCCACTGGTATACGACAATCCTTTCCTGATAAATGTTGTTATTATTTTTTTGTTCTTACTACACATCTGACATCGTTGTTTAATTAAAAAATAAATACTTGAGTTACAGTATGGGTAGGCATAATTTAAAATTATTTTTGGAAATTTTCTTAATGTTGTCGAAGGTCAATGATTGAGTGTTAATCAAATAAGTAATAATTGATGTCTGGTTCATTATAAGTGCCCACGTATAATATATCTACAGCAGACCTTCCCAATATTATTTCATAAATATTTTCAATTAATATTGATATGCTTACTATGCTACTCATTATTTTCATTAGGTATCCAATAACCATCTACATGACCTTTTATTATTATAAAACGTTACATAATTCCTACTTGTAGAATATATTTTTGATGTACCTACTTAATTATCATATTATTTTAATTATATACCTACCTACCTACCTATAATTTTTTATTAGCAAAAATATATTAATTAATCATAGGTAGGTACCACTATCATATAAAAATAACTAAGTTCTATCTTAAATTTATCAATTTAGATACATATTTAAACATACTACTTTTATTAATTTCCTAAACAACATTTGTTATTGATAGTGGAAACTTATTGCATAAGTCTTAAGCATAGAACATGTCCTTTGCATTTAATAGTTAAATCTCTTGTTTTCAAATTTTTGCGCTCATGTATAGAATCTAAATTTATCTAAAATAGGTAATCTGGTAATATTTCTTACACATTTTTCTGAAACTTGATAAAGTAATTAAACATGCTTATATCTGGTGTTGTAAATTGTTATAGTTAAGTAGGTAGGCAGTCACAAAGAGAATAATTGTGTGTCTTAGTTACTTAACTGGTTAAATTATCTAATGTAATGCGTATTCATGATATAAAAGTGGTTTTGAATTCTTGATAAGTATACCAACTTAGTAGCTTTTAGTACATTATTTGTTATCAATGTTATTATTAATTTAAAACAAGAAATTGTTGGCCATTTATTACATAACTGATTGTATCTTAAATTCCTTCCCTTTTTTCCCCAATAATAGTTATTTAGTATTTACGTATCTATTATAATTGTTGAAAAAACTTTAATTAATTTATGTATAATTACACAATTTGTTTAATAACAATTTTAAAATAAATTATACTTGTTAAAAATATTAAACTGAAAATTTCTAGTTTTTACTTTATTATTAACGAAATACTTACCTATTATGTTTATATATATATATTATATCATATAGGTACTATATCAAAATTAATTTATATTTTCATTTATTGGATCTAATATTTTTGATTCTATATAACATAAATGTGTTCACGTGGTGTATAAGTCAAACCGTGAGTACAGTATTTTGTATTCAAAAATCAAATGGCATGTTTGGGTGTGTACAATTTTTAATACTCGTAGCGTTTGTGGAAATGTACAAAAAAAAACTCATGACAATCAATAGGTTAATGGGCAAACTTATTTAATAATATATTTAATGATTTTCAAGTAATTCTTTATTACTTCTATAAAAAAAAAAACAGTTTTTATTAAGTTGAAAATTTTATTATTGAGTAGGTACAATATTCTATTCTATTTTACATTTCAAACTTTCAGAAAAATTATTTTGAAAACATCATCCTTATTTCACGTGTATTAAGTCTTTTAGTTTCTTGTGATATTTAAATGTGTTAATAATTTATAGGTAGATACATCATGTTTTATGGTTTTTTTGAATTGCTATGAATTTAATATAATGGTGAGGATTTAATTCTAGAAGGGGTAATATCTTTTTGGTCCAAATGATAAATACCTTTCAAGATGAATTTTTTTTTATTATTAACCCGCTCATGCCCGTAAAGTATATAACAATGTGTTACGACTAGAGACCCAAGCGTTAAGGAGGGCATGGTCACATTTATTTAGGTAATTAATCCTGTAAAGATTTTAGAATCAATATACATGTTTAAGGGTTTCTTTTAAGCCAATAAATGTGATTAATATTCTGGATGTATTAATATTTTGGTAACTATTATATTTTTTGATTAGCTTATTTTAAAATATATCTTGAATGTTAGGTATATATTTATATTTGAGGTACAAGTAAAATATAAAAATTATCTTTTTACCTTGTGACTTCTATTTATATAGTTTGATATTACTGCATATTACTATGATTATATTTATTGCTTATTGTTAAATTATTAAAAATAAAAATAAAAAAATATATCAATAAAATTTACATAATTCTATGTACCTATTGGCTATTGGTAACTCAAATAAATTTTAAAATGTATATTTTATAATTAAAAAAACATGCAAAATAATTTATGCTGTTGTGACTAATATATGATATATTCAGGGGTGGATTTAACAATTTTCCGTCTCTATGCCAAAACATTTTGCCGCCTTAATTTAAAAAAAATCACCTCTGTACAACAAAATTTCCTTACACGATAACATTTTATATGTATTATGCAATTATTTTTTCATTTAACTATATTCAATAAAAAATGTTTTGATTCAAATATATTATTTTTTCTTTGTTTTTATTATACAAGAAAAAAAAATAATAAATGTGTTAAATAATTATTTGGTTATATAAGTAGTTTTAGTGTTAATTATTTATTTTGAAATTGAAAAATTCAAGAAGAAAATTAAATTTTTTCTAACCAAGAACAAAATAAATATTAAATATAATTTTGCTAAAAATAAAAAGCTGCCCTCCAAAAATTTTCTGGCCTATGCGACTGTATAGTTTGCAGTGCCTTAAATCCATCTCTAGATATATTTGTTTCGGATGCATCAATTCTCCTTTACATCTATTTACGTTTTATAATTAACTCAAATAGTTATTAGCTTTTAAAAACTGAATAGCCCTTATGTTATTGTGAATAGTTTAAAATAAATATAATAAAATTCATGATATATTAAATCAGGTTCTCAGCTTTTTTATATTCGCATATCACTTATTTAGTTATAAAATTTTCACGTACTATTACTGTAACCTAATAACCATTTTATTTTCTTATCCTAACCTATCCAAATAATATTTAATATTAATAATTCATTCCAATATTTTTATGAAGAGAGATTTTCTTTATGTACCACCTATAAATTTTCTGCATACCACAGGTTGAGAAATATTTTATTAAATAATAAGTTATTTACCCATACGCCAAATCATACGCCACCGTGATTACGATAACGTTCATATAATCGCTCGTTAATTTCCGATAACCAGTCACCACCGGTCTACGAACATACACACGCATACACATTACATAAAACTCTCACGACATAATAGTAACATTTTCGAGGTCACACAAATTATCAGAATGACTCCCAGCTAAAAGACATATACATGTCAAAAAATAGTTAGTGACAAAAAACACAACAGACTCATCTGTAAATTTTTTTCATCAAATTATTTAAAATGCCTTAAGGTAACATTCCTAATAAATTTTGATTTTACTTTAATTTCATTAATTTATATTTACCTCTGGTGATAATAAATAATATCAAACAATAAAAGTTCCTCAGTAGGGAGATAAATTGTGAGTTATTGATTTCCTCTGGCGGTAGAATCTTAATGCTTAAACTTGTACCATATTTATTTTTAAAACGTATGGTGTATAATTAAGTAATAACAAAAACATATATTTTTTTTGTAGGTGCTTGCCGAATCTGATAAAAATATTTCATCTACTAAACCGTTAAAACCATCAAAGGAAGAATTATTTATTGATGATGAATCTGAAAATTCAGATGATAGTGATACCGATAAATTAGATGCTGATGATATGATGCTAGGTGAAGAAGGTAGTGGTATGAGTCCATCATCAAAAGGAACAGGAGCTGAAGACATGGAATCTAGTGGATCTGGCTATGGACCTGATGATGAAGATGCACAAGTTAGTGGTAAGAACAAAGGTAAATCAGGAGTTGATTCTGAAGAAGATGAAGAAGATATGGATGATGGTGATGATGAAGATGATGATGATAACGAAGATTTTGATACTGAAAATCCACATAAGATGTTTAGTCCTGTAACTACTGCATCAACTACAACTACAACAGTTAAAAGTCATGGTGAAGAATCTATTTTCCCTGAACAGGTAAATTTGTATAAATTTATATTTTATTTATCTTTAGCCTCCATAAACAATACTCTCATTGTTTCTATACAACTCTCCATAAAAATCCTGAGATTACTATCTATTGCATTTGTATCATTCAAATAACATACAAGAAGTGTATGTAGTGTATATTTTTTTAAAAGTTGGTTTTAGCTCTCAAAATTTGTAGAAATTGTATTTTTTTGTTGGTAGAAAAAATTTCTATTTTTTTGTACCTATGTTATTTTTTTCATTTGTCACTAAATCACGCCATACTAATTTTATATTATTGTTTATGCATTTATTAAAACAGTATATTAGTGTATATACAAATGATTTAAGTTGATGTTTATCTTTATACATTTATTATTTCATGGTAGATTGAAATTTATATCAATTAAATTGAATCATTATTAACATCAATGTAAATTATAGATGTTAGTTTCAATTGTATTTTAATTATTTATAAATTAAAAAATATTTAAGTATCTAAAATAACTGATAAATGATAAACTAAATTACTACCTATATGTAGTATTTAATATGTATTTGATTTGAATCTATTTTTAAATGATACCTTTGCTGTCTAATATCTTTCCGTTTTAAATTATTTATGAACCATTTTAAGAACCTTTTTATACTTGTGATAAGTCAATTTTCTTGTTTGTTTACTTAAATGAGTCGTGATATAATAACATCTCTTTCCTATTGATTTCTATAGTTTTCCGAAGTTGTTTCTAAAGTTATAGTAAAAACATAAAAGTAATTGTATTAATGTATATTTAAATTATAATATGCACTAACTAGTAATTAATAAATAAAGACAGATTATTCTTCAGTTTATTCCAGTAATTTAATTTATATATACATAAACGTATCATAGTTTATTACAGCTACTATGCGTGTACATAATTTATCAATCTAAAAAATATACTATTAAAATGATAACATTATCTATTATATTTATGTATAACACAAGGTGCTGCATTAAAATAATGTAACACTTAAAATTCATAAACTCACATTTATAAGTTTAGTAATATGTTTATTTAGTTAGGATATAATGTGCAAACTTGTCATTTAGAATATTTGAATAACATTTCTTTGATGGGTACTTGAAATGTATAAATTATTAAACAATTTTCCATTAACACATTATAATGTAGTAGATAAAAAAATGTACTAAACATCTATGTTCATTCGTATTATAGTCAATTTTTAAATAATTTCATAATCTTTGAAACAGGTATGAGTTACACAATTTTAAATAGTTTGGAAGCAGTTGCATTTTGTTTAAAAATGGTTTGTAAAATATTTTGAAAGGCATTAATGATATAGTTGTTTAATTTAATAGTGAATATTATGTTCTATCAATGTGAATCGTTTGTATTTGTTATTATTATAACTTATTGTTGTATGTAGCATTTTTGTTGATATGAATTTCCTGGAAGTTTTATTACCACATTAGGTATATTTTTTTTACCTTCACAATTCTGCCTCTATAAAACCATTGGGAACTTTTAGTATTAATATGTTGCATGTTAAATTCACCTGATGAATTGCATATTTCTTCTAATTTTGCATCGCTAATCTGAAATTTTTGTTTTTGAGGGCAGCAAAATACTATTACTATGTTAGCAAGTTTTCTTTATTTTAACTGACACTGCAATTTGTTGTTCTTTATATCTTGGTGACTGTACTCCTTATAAATGGTATATTATAACAATATTACAAATTCGTATTTATAATACCTTTGAAACTTCCTTATACCTTTGAAACCTAATAAGAATCTATTCAATGTCGTAGCCAGAATTTATTTTCAAGTGTGGGAGCCTTAATTTTTGATGACCAATAAGGACAACAAACTAAGTTTGCGCTATATTGCTGACAATATAATTCATATAATTATATATTTATACATATTATCAAATCAAGATCATGTAATTAATAAAATTGTATTTTCAATTAAATTAATAAAATTATTGTTGTCTGACATTTCAGGGCGGGGGGGGGGGGGTTGAGTCCAGAGACCCCCTTTACTATGGTACTGAATCTATTTATGTATTAATTATTATTTATTACTAGGGCCCAGATTTATATGCTTTAAAAATCTCAAAAATATGCGCTATAAAATATGTATTTATGCTCTTATTTTATAGAAATATACCATATAAAATAAAAAATATGCAAAAAAATTGATTGAAAATAAGTTTTTTATTTTCATTAAATATATATAAATAAAGTCAAATGAAAGTTACGTGCACTCAGATCACGACAAACGTGACTAATGTATGACTCATTAAAACCTACTCAATAACAGATTACTACTTGTCCTGATAATTCTTAGATAAGATGGGAAAACAACTTTGTTAAATTACATAGACTATAAATATAACTATAAATACGTTATTTTAATTAAAATAAGCAAAATATTACATTTTATGCATTTGAAAACTATATATGCAATCAAAAAACTAAAATACAGAAATATGTAATACATGTCAAAAAAATGACAAAATACGGAAAAATATGCAAAATAAAACTTTATATTTCTGATCTTTTGACTTCAAGTCAAAATTGAAGCTTACCTAGTTATTTTTTGGACTGTTCAGAAAAAACATGCAAATGTTTGTAAATCCGACCCTATTTATTACGTATATGTGTACATGGTAAAAATCATTAATAATACAGGCAACATTTTTTGATTGAGTCAATTTTTCTTTCTTGATAAAAAAAATGGAAGTAGTTATACATTTTGATGAATTATTTTAAACTTTTTATATTAATATGTTTTGTATTTGTACAGTCAGTCATTACAAATAACTGTATTCACTGTGCATAAACATAATTTATTTTCATATATTTTTTTTAATAGACATTGAAGGTTGATGACTCATTTAATTTTAAATGTAATTTACAAATAATTTTTGCTTTTGATAATGATAGACATTTTATTAATGCTATTTAATATAGCATATCAAAATGGTCTACTAGTACTTTTAATTAGGTAAAGAAGTGTGTTTATTACCATACAAATTATTTAATCTAAATATTATGTTTGTATGATTCACTATTCCTTTATTCCTTTATTGCATTATCTATTTCAATTTTTTTTTAAATTTAAATTACACATACAATTTACAATATATTTTTCATTTTTATTTAAAATATGTATTGAGGAAGGCTTACTGAAATATAAAAATTAAGAAAACTTTAATATGTGATTTATATTTATATATTTATTTTAGCCTAAACAGAACATTAATGATGTCAATCTGGCACCAAGTGTACCTAGTGTGCCTGAAGTACCTCAAACTACATCTACGTCTACTCTTCCACCACCTCCTTCCAATGCTATCGATGAACATTCTAGCAGTAATGGAGTCTATATAAGTCCAAACAGCCACCCTGAGCGAACATCTTCATTTTTTGCACAACCTGGCATACTTGCAGGTAATAAAAACAAATAACACTTGTGATAAATAATCATAAAATACCTCTTAATTGTAATCATCTCACAATATAATGTATGTTTCAGCTGTTATTGGAGGTGCCGTTGTGGGATTGTTGTGTGCAATTCTAGTGGTTATGTTCATTGTATACAGGATGCGTAAAAAGGATGAAGGTTCTTATCCTTTAGAAGAAACCAAACGTTCTCCAGCCACAAACCCATACCTAAAATCTTCACATCGCGAATTTTATGCATGAGTACACTTTTAAATTGGTTTTTATTTGAGCCTATGAACATAGTATACGTTATAATAATAATAATATTGTTTTATCACCTTTTTCCCCATAAGACAATTCGACTATTCCAAAGGCAGTTATGACTTCTAGTCAAACATACATTTATATATGTATATATATATATATATATATATATAAATGATAAATAGAGTTTCATCATAAATTAATTGATCTTTTAAAACACAAAAATGTTATTTTAATCTACCATTACTTTCCTTAAAAAATTGTACAAATTTTTTTTTATTTTCTTATATTTTGAATTAGTCAGATTATTATTGTCACCTATAGTGCAACTAAATTAAAATGGCCAACTTGGCATAAAAGAGGAGCTTATTTTACAATCGCCGACCCAACAGTCAAAATAATATGGTCAACATGTCAGATAACTCAAGTCGATGAGTAACCAAAATTAACACAATTAGACCGGGGTCACCTGGTCATTTTAACTTAGTTGCACTATACCTATTTGTCTTCCGTAATCCCCTTTTAATGTTAAATATATATAAAATGTTAATATTAATTGGCTGGATCTATGCCAAACTGGTAACTTTGAAGTTCTTTTGAATCATATCATGTTCATATTGGTTTTATGAACAACCTTATAGGGTGGCTTTCGTTATTAATTTTTATAGATTCTCGAGTATACTGAGTATAGAGAATGAAATTAAGATCATAAAATGCCAATTGATTTAAAAAAATAATAACCAGTTTGGTCTGGCCTGCTTTATATTATTAATTAAAATGTACTGATAATTGAAAATCAATTTAAATTAAATTAAACTATTATTTGTTGAAATTAATTTTTGTTAAGTATAAATATTAGGCAGTATTAAGTGGAATTATATGGTTCATTAAACTAAAAGACCAATATAAAAAAGAAGAAATTGAAGATAATAAAGATTGTATAGTTTTTAATTTAAAGACTAAAACAATATAGAACCTTAACCAACTTAATTATGTGCCATTTTTTTGTTGGGCCTCCCCCTTCTATTCATATATTTTAAAGTGTTTTCCAATTTGAACACTTTGTATATAATATTTAGGCATAACAAATTATTATTATTTTTATTATTATTAGTTATTATTTATAGTTTTCCAATATTTTTATTTCTAATAATTATATTTAGTGTAGCATGGAACTAATTGATAATGAATATACTTTTCCCTATTATGTTTTTGTACATATATAATTGTACTAGTAAAACAATATAAATTTAATGCTGTCCAGAGATAATACAAAAAAAAAGATAGCAGAACATCTTCTTTTAACTCGGTAAATTAATATTTATAACTATCATTTATCATTGAAAGAAACTAAGTATGATATTACTGTGAATTTTTTATTTATTTAACCTACTCGTAACAATTTTATTATTTATGTATTTGATTAAGTTTTATAACATCATTTGTTTTAAGTATTGAGCGTTTTGCAATAATGTTCATCATCGTCAAGCTCTGTACAAGAGTATTATTTTTACTTGTTTATACCATTTTATGTAAACATAATATACACAATATATTATTATACTCAATGATTATTTGTAAGAAGTTTTTATTTGATTTGTTTTATGTTTATATTTTTACTCACAAAACTTGGTCTTTGTAAACCAATTTTTTTTTAATGTTCGTACCTCGTTCCTTCCAACAAGAAAAAACTTGTTTTTCCTTATTCACATCTATTAATAATGTAATATTATTTTTTTATCTTGGCTCTTTTGAAAATAATTCCAATAGTATAATGTATGTAGTATGTACCTTTAATTATGTCAAATACTCAAAATTAGGATGATCTGCTCTCAGTAACTAAAATCTAAATAAATTAAAATATCTATTGTCATAAAAAAAAAATTATATTATTTTTAAGATTTTTACTATTTGACGTATTTAACTGTTTTTAATGCTTTTTATTATTTTGAGATCTTTCATAATTTAAACTTGAAGTTTTTAAGGGTCTATTGTACACATAAAATCTTTAAAATGGCAATAAACAAAACTATTTTATTTGTAAACTCAATAGAATTCATAAATGCACCAGTACTTTATTTTTTTTCAATTATAATAATAATAGATAAACCCTTACATTTTATCTTGTTAAATTGTATACATTTTTTTGTTTGCCATTTATTTTATTAAAGACATACCACTTATTGTCCACTTGAAATTTTCAGTATTAATTAGTTATAAATAATATTTTTTAATCATTTCTTTATTATATTATTTTTCTTGAACTTTCCTTTCATCATATGAAAGCTTAAACTTAAAACAAAATAAACAGTTAATTTTTGTATTTTATTGTTAAACATGTAAAATTATTTTAAATAGGTGTTGATCGTATATTCGTATGTTTTGCATCATATGTATGCCATATTGCTAAACCATGATCATAATATGATTTTTCAATATGCTAAAAAATCAGCCAAGTTATCACTACAAAAATTTATATATTTCGCTTCAAAATCTAACCATTTTCCCTTAAATTCTTATTGAAGTAAGTTTTAGAATTCCAGAATATTTATACCAATTTTCTATCTTTTTTGTGTTTTGAAATACTAACACATTGCTGACAAAAATTGCTGTTGTGACCTTTTACATTTTCAAGAGCCTTTTTTTAAATATTACAAACAATATTCAACTATTTTTAGTATGATGGCAGGTTCACTCTAATTCCAAAAATTATTTATCATTTAAAATTATATTCTCTATCACAATTATCAGTTTAAAAATATTTTTTTTATCCTGAAACTTGTATAATGTAGATTTTACTTTTTTTTGATTCTATTGTCGCGGTCACAAAAAATGATAGTTGCTCATTATGGTCCAAGCGGCAGTTCTTCTAAAGTGGTTATAAATCATTAAACAAAAGCCCGCTTTTTTTTTTTTATAGTACACAAACAAATAAATTATGTTTATAATGTAAAGAAAAAAAATGTATAAACATTATTAACAGTTAAAAATAAATAAAATACTAGTATAATAATTTTTAATTAAGTCTTTATGTCATTTTCACTGTCTTCGTCAATATTAAAATCACTGTCATCAGAAGAAAATTTAAAAATTGGTTCCATCAAACTATCTCAAAATTTCCTTCTCATTATCCTCATCTTGGATCTTCTCAGCATGTTCAACACATTTCTTCTAATCACTTTTCGATACCGAATCCAATGCTTCGTTTATTAGTCTTTCGACGTCGAGCGTTTTAAAAGTATTATTATTTTTTGTCATTTCACCTTGACTCGTACCCAAATGAGTTCGATAGGGTTATACTGCGGACAGTGGTACAGTGGAAGTCGAATTATTTCATGGCCCATCGAACTCGTGATTTCGTCTAATTCATTCCTTTTAAATGACGGTATTTTCGGTATATTAACAATTTAAGTCGTTCACACAGTTCGGCTAATGTTTCTAACGATGAAAAATTAACGTTTTGTTTTCCAGCCAATTCTGCACATCAGCTTTTCGAATATTATTTTAATAGTTTTTGGATAATTGTTTATATACATGGAATGATATGGTGTGTTATCCATAACAATAACGCATGGTTCGGGAAATAGTTTCAACATATCTACAAACCATGTTTTAAAAACATTTGAGTTCATTGATGAATGACAGTCAATAAAATTCCGTGCTTGACATTTGAAAATTAGTTTCGACCCTTCTACGAATCCGTATTGAAATGAGTGATGACCCAGCATGTGTGATAATCAGACGACCTTTTTTGTTGATTGGTACTTTTAACCTTTCTGTTTCTTCGACATTTACCGAGGTTTCATCTAGGTAAATCACTGGTCCAGGCGCGTCTCCAAGGGGGAGGGGCGAAGAAGGGGTGTTCCTCCTTAACAATTTTAAATGTATAAAATTACTATTATATGTCAGCAAAATTTTAATTTATTGTGATACCTAAGTAGATAAAACTAAATCTCCACAAAGATAATAAATTATTATATAGATAAAGATAATAACTAGGTACTACCTAATTATGTGGTATCGGCATAGTTTATTTGGGTATCGTATCACAGAAGAACGCAGCACATATCTTTATAATCGTGGCTTCAGTCTGTGATCGGTTATCGATGTATACCATAGTTATATCATTAATAGTCGGGCAATTTGTGCGTTACGTTCTTGCGTTTTCACTTTTCTTATAAATATATTTTTTTATTTTTGTTTAAAAATATGAGTGGCTCAATTGAAGAAATTCGAAATTCTAACAAACGTCAAAAATTACAGAATAGTGAACTAATAACTTCTGCTACAACTATTACAACTATTACTCATACTGCCGTAAATTCGATTTCAAATGATAGGAACCTGTGAAAACGTCTATTATTTCAATCTCAACTAGTGATTCAAGTCAGTTAGTTTCAAATTGTTATGATTTTAGTACAGATATTGAAAATTATATAATATATATAGATCAAATACATCTGATTATATTAAAGTTGGATTACTTGAAATGAATAATAATCCCTTCCAATGAATTTATATATTCATTTAGTGTCCATTTAAAAAAGGGAAAACATGAGAAACGTTACTTAAAAAAATCTTATTTTGAAAATTGTTCTTGGTTGCTATATTCTCCATCTAAAGGTGGATTATTTTGCAAATATTGTGTATTGTTCGCTGTTAGAGGCGGAAAAGATAAAAATGTTATACTAAATAAATTTTTCAACATTCCTCTGACTAAGTTTGCTAAAATTATGGATGTAGATGGAGATTTTAGTGTACACAGTAATAATTTGTATCATAAAAATGCTGTACAAGTTGCACTTGGTTTTTTGAATACATTTAAAAACCAAAAAAAATGGAATAGTTAATATTGTGACTGGTCTAGTATCCTTCATTTGGCGAAGTGTACATATGTTAGGTACGTAAAAATTTACAATGCAAAGCAACAATATCGTTCCGCTCCAAAAGTATTTTCGACCATAATCATATTTTTTAAAAATCTGCCAGACTAGTGGATCCTTCATAATTTGGCATTTTTTTTAATTCACGTGCAATTTAAATTATGGTTCTTCCCTAACATCAATTAGAGATTTTTTGTTATTACACATATACGCCTCAGTGTTGTACAAGAAACACCACAAGCTTCAGAAGCGATTTTTTGAATACTTTTAAAAAAGTTTGGTGTCAAATATTTTTTTCCGAAAGCATTTAAAAAAAAATT